TGTTTAGGACTCTCTCTGTTCTAAACAGTCTACTCTGAAAGCAGGTCTCAGAATGTTACCTGGTGCCTTTCATTAACTAAGGTTTGGCATATGTGAGTTTTTGCTGGGTTTCTGTGGCACAGTTTATTTCGGTGGTGAGGGAGGGGCCTACAGCAGTGGCCCCTGTGAGAAGCTTCTTGAAGCTCCCCCAGCTCCAAGTCAGAGCTGCCTCTGTCCAAGGCTGAGCCCATCAGCGATGGTGGTTGTGCCTCTGTGATAACCTATCTAAGAAGGGGAACCTGAGAGGGGGTTGGGACTTGCGAGGGGGAGTTGTGAGAAGGACAAACACCCAGGTCAGTGGAAGGAGAAGAGATGTGGAGGAGGTGGACTGGAGCAGAGACACCTGTATCCCATGGTGAGACAGCACGGCTGCCCACCCTGCTACCCGTGGAGGTCCACGGTGGATTAGAGGTCAGCCTGAAGCCTGAGGAGAAAGCCACTCCAAAACAGGCAGCTGTGCTTAAAATAGGCCGGGACCCTGAGGGGAGATGTGGCCCCCGCTGTTGTGGTTTGGCACTGGGAGGACTCCAACACGCAGGGGTGACCCATGCTGGAGCAGCACGGGAACAGCTGTGGCCCGTGGGGAGGACTCACTCCAGAGGAGGTTCAAGGAGGGCTGTCCCCGGTGGGAGGGGAGCCCCATGGAGCAGGGGAGGGATGGGCAGCGTTCACCCCACCTCCTGAGAAGGAAAAAGCGGCGAGTTGGCTGTAACGCCCATCCCCTGCCCCCTGCGCCGCTGGGGGAGGAGGTAGAGAGATCCAGAGCAGAGCTGAGCCCGAGAACAAGGGATGTGTGAGGGGAGGTGTTTTTGCATGTGGTGGCATTTCTCACTGTCCCCACCTTGTCTGTTAAGTGTTGTCTTTGGTAGCATTTGAATTAAAGTGATGTTTTCTTTTTCTTCCCCTAACCAGTCTGTCTTTTGCCTGTGACAATAAGGGGTGACCTACTCCTCCCTGTCCTTAAATGGTTACATCTCCCCACCCCACCTCTGATGGAGGAAGGAGTGAGTGAGTAGCTGTGTGGTGCTCAGTTGCCCTCTGGGCCTGAACCATGACAGACAGCTGTCCTCATGTGCACAGTGCTGCTGTGTCTTCCACCTGTGTCTGCGTCTGAAGAACATCCATGAGTGTCACCTCCTCCACAATGTCACTGATGTCGGTGTAGTGAAGTATTTCTTAGCAAACACCACTGCAGTCTTGGACTCTGCTGCCTTCCAGATCATTCTCAAGTATAAATCACCCATTTGGTTTGGGTGAAAAATCACCTAGAAAGCTCTGCATGTTACATATCTGTGCCTGAGTAATTGCTTTCCACCTTGCAGAGGGTCTGCTACCAATCATACATAAATTGCATGGGAAGCGGGCTGGTGGGGGTGTTGTCTTCTGCAGGGCTGCTTGAACTCGTTTGTGCTCTTGGTCCAGGAAAGCACAAGCTTTTTAACCATGGGCCTCCCAGGCTGTGGGAAGTGTGTGTGAGGGGTACAGGCTTAGACGAGGTGCCTTCTGCCTGCTCCGACTGATCTGTTTATATCTGTCCATCTCACATAATTCTCTGGCACCTCTTACTGTGGTAGCTAAGCATGTTTCTAGATGACCATGGCTTTTTTTCATCTTCTCCTCTTTTTAATAGTCTTTTCTCCTTTCTTTTAAATCGGTCTTTAATAAAGTTGAGAATTCTTGCACAGGGTTTTATAAACATGTGTTATTAAATTTTAAATCTGTTTTGAAAGTGCCTCTATCCTACTCCCTCCTAGTAAAGTGACCTTTTTAAATGGAGGGAAGTGGGTTTAGATGACAGTCATGATAAATGCGGTCATGTTCACTCAATAAAATAAGGCCCAGTGCATTTGAGGATAAATCAGTGAAATGTACAGCCCCACCTGTCTGTCTCCATCATTCATTTCCACTGTCACTTTCACAGTGGCTGATGGATCACAGTTGCTGTAAAATTAGACAGCCTTTAATCTCATTTCATCCTGATTAGCTTCTCCTTACCCTTTCCCTCTAACTCACTGACTGACACGCTAAAAACTCACACTGGGCTGTGTTTGAGCGTGGCGTACAAACTTCTCTTCAAATACCCTTTTTGTGGGGCAGGCAGGTGTTCCACCAAGTTGAAATCAAAAAATCAGAAGATGGGATTTTCACATTATTAAAGTGAAACAGCAGACAAAGACTTGTATAGAATTAATGAAAGCAGCAGCCCGGCCAGACTGTGTGTTGGGACAAATTCTTCCTGTTACACCCTGGCAAGCCCAGTGAGTTTGAGAAGATCGTTCCTACTAGAGGCTGAATTTAGCATGCTCATTGCCATGTAATTTTGACTGTATTAGTTAGGTCCTATATAAATGTGTGTTTCTAAGGATTTAGGGTTTACAGCACAAGTTTTTTGGTGCTTTCAAGGGGCGTTATATAGTGGGGAAAAATTAATTGCCATAGTTTTAATTTCTGTGTATAACTCATGATTCTGAGGAACCCTGAAAACGGTCAGGGAGAAAGATTGCGATGTTGGAAATTTCAGTTTCAGTGCCAAAACTCACTCCCTCTTAGATGTCCACAGTATTGCTCCATCCTCCCTGTTTTGTCCAGCTCCCTCCAGACCCGTGGACAGATTCATGAGACCAAGAACAGTTTTCCCCCAAAGCCCTGTGAGAAACAAAGGTCATAGTAAAGGTGTGCAGTGTTTTATTGTAGTCACCTTTCCTTCTGAAGCCCAAATACTACCCTCCTTTCTAAGGCAAGCTTCCCTTTAGCTTCCCTGTGAGTTACGGATGGTAGTTTGGGTCATTTGGGCCCAATCCCGTATCAGTGGGAATGTTGCCATCAAGTTAAGTAGGCGCCAGGATTAAGCCCTTAGTTTTCAAGGTTTAATTATCATCATAAGTGTGGGAGTCTTATTGCATAGTTTATATGCATGGGAACGGCAGAAAAGCTTAAAATATAATTTCTTCCTCTACTGGCCCTGTTTGTGTCAATATGGAGGATAAATAAACAGAAGTGTTCGCAAAAATGAAAACACAGTGTGAAAAATGTTCATGTGTGCTGCCTGCAGACACTTCTTTTGATAAATGCGAGATCTCTCCAGATTGACCAACGCAAGAGGCTGGTTGAGGGTACAACCACTGGCTTGGACCTAATTGGAAATGGTAATAGAGCATTAGATTAGGTAAGAATTGAAGCCCCTGCATCCTGGGGTATTTCTTCTTGAGAGGAGGGGTCCCAAAAAGCATCTAAGGAAGACAGCAAATTTCCTGTGGGAGACCCAGACTCATTATGTAGTACAAGCATCCACAAAATTAAGGAGAGTGATGGGTTTTGAGAGAGAAGATTTTAAAATAAGAAAATGTCTGAGATTAAAGAATGAGATAAATATGACATGGGGGCTAAGAAGATAACAAACATCTTTTTAATTCTTTCATCCCACTGTAGGAATCTCTAGGTAGTATAAAATCTTACACAGTGCCTAGTATAGGATTACTTCCCAGTTATATAAAGCATACTAGTAACAAATAACCTTAATTAATGAACTTTCACTGTACCTGGCTGCCCAATTTAAGAACTAACTGCGTCACTTATATGACTTGTAAGAACACAGACTATGAAAATGATATTCGACCTTTACTAGAAACTAAAAACATACCTTACTTATTCATCATTGCCTTGGCAAAAACTTCAGTAAGAAGCTTAAATGAGCCCCCTTGATCTTTAAGAAAATGTATCCTAAATAACAAAGCTGTACGTATTTCTTCTTATTATTATTTGCATATGCTATACTGCACAACTGCATTCTGAGAAAAATAAAAGATAATAAAACAAATGAAATGAGAGATATATCACCCAAAATAATCCAAGTGTGAGATAGGCTGCCTTTTTTTTTTTTTTTTTTGGCATTGGCAAAAGAGCACAAAGTAAGAGCTGGCCCTGAGTCATATTGATTTCCCACTGCACTGGTTTCCTAAGTGCTCTGTTGATCCGTGTCAAGCAATAAGTTCCCTGCCTGTACATGCACATCACCTCCCCATTTGTCCTCACCTAGATTTAAGGTGCCCATATGATGAGCTGAACAAGGACATCATTTTTCCTACTGGTGTCACTGGGCCAAAACTACTCTATGTGGTACGATAACTAATGCTGTGTAAGTTTACATTTACCGTATAATACCACAATAGTGCTGTATGGCATACCGCAATAATATGTGCATATTATGTAAATATAAGTTCTTATTTTTGTGTCTTAGCATTTGCAGTGGAAAATGTACATGTGAAAAAATAGATCATTGCGGCTGTGGTTGGTCCATACTAATCACAACATCTCCAAAAAAAAGGGATATTGCAAACCTAATGCCACAGTTTTGATCTTTGTTAACAAAGGGCTTCCTGATTAGATGAATAGAAAATGTGTGATTGTGCTGCTAATGACATTGTACAGGAAATTAAGCGTATACATTTGGAAAAGGCATTAAATCAGCAGGACCTTAATTTAAAAACTTAAAACTGTATGGAAATGCAGCTTGTTCATTGCTGTGTAATAGAAAGCTACTGAACATACTGACTCTTCTTGTGGAAACATTGCCAGCAGAACAAAGCTGGGCTGAGGTTTTTTTAATGTTTCATAGCATACTAGAATTCCTAGCATCTGCTTATTTGCAAGGAAATATCAAGCAACTTCACCCCTTTTTACAAATTGTTTTTAGAGCAGCATATACGGCACTTGGGCAGGTGGGGGGCTGCTGAGGGACCGGAATTTCAGCTTTTTTCCTCAATTATTTGCAAGATTGAATAGCATAAGATTACTAATAAGCGGCCTTGTCTTCTGCTAGGTCAGTGGCCATACATACTTGGGGTGATGCATTCCCCTGTTATTTCATATAGATGTAATCTCAGTGTTGTATTTTGTGCTTTTGAAAATATTTGGTGGAATCAGTGCCCTGAGCTGACAAAGAATTCTTGCTTTACTTGCAGTTATGCCATATAACAGCGCCCATCACTGTGTCGTGGAAGTGGAAAACTTTTTGTTCGTGCTGGGAGGAGAAGACCAGTGGAACCCTAATGGTATGTATAGAATATTTAAAGGCAGAGGCAGCATCTGCCTTCCTGTGTCTGTCTGTCAGGTCAGCTGATGTAGAGATTAGCAAGGGATTCTGAGGACCCTCAGCCTAATTGTTGAACCTAGTAAAGGCTACTTTTAGTTATTGATGCAATAAATATCTCATACTTTAGCATTAGCATCTCCGTCATTCATCAGCTCCCACATCCCTTGAGAAATGCCACAGGCAGCAGAACAGACTCTTTCAAGTGCATGCACCAAGCAGCAGCTGTTAAGAATTTTAACCTTCATTTCCAGTCTCCTTCCAGTCATAATATAATAACGCAATTGCAGTAGATGAATGCTTCTTTTCTATTGTCAAACAAGATACTCGCAGCTAAAGTTGTTAATGTGTTAATTATCTAGACTCTGAGATTCTTAAACTGGTCCTTTTTTTAGTCTTGTGCAAGAGCTTCTCATATAGATTATCTGCTGCTACCTTCTTTGATTTGATTACTTCATAAATTTACCGCAAAGAGAAATTAAACAATTTAACAGGCTTCTGAGCAAAGCAAAAGGAGAATACCATGCCTTGCAAAATTCACAAAATTGTCAAGACATTGTTAAAAAGCTTGCACACGAAGAAAGAGTTGTAGTTGTAGCAGTCTGTGTAACAGAGATAATTATGACTGAGAAACCATAAAACAGCTTGCAGGTACACATTTTTACTTTAAAACACCAGAGGATCCAGCTGAAATTACATATACTGCATATATTTTATTGTGAATGCCCCATTTCAGCATCTGCACTAAACCAAATTATAGAAGATTGTTACATCTGTTCACTTCCTAAAACCTGAGACAAACAATCTAGTCCACCCTGTAAGTATATTTCCGGTTTAGTTAAAAATACCACTAAATGTCTTAGGAGAAGAGCCCTTTAGTTCTATTGTTGAATCTCCTTTATAATAAACAGGAGATAGTGTGGTATCATTAATGACGATTATTATTAGGCCCATCAACCACATCCAGCAACTGAGGGCCCCCGTTGTGCCTGGTGGTAGGCATGTGGATAATAGGACGCAGACCTTGTTCCAGAAACTTTATAATTAAATGGCCATGTCACAGGAAGGATAAAAAAAAAAAAAAAAAGAAGTACAATTACCCACAATTTGAAGATACGGAAACTGAGTCACAAGGTGATAGAGAGGTGTTAGGAGGGGTGCATATCCTGCATCTGAGGTAGGAGTCGAGCACCACTGTTTGTGAGATGGATAGTATGCCTAGATCAACTCCTGAGCTGAAGATGATGCTGGAGACACCTAACAGCTTCCTTGTTCTGTGAATACCAGTGCTGTGATTTTTCTGTAGAGAGGATAAGAATAAAAGAGGTAGGAACATTGCTGATACTGATCTCTTTAAAAATTTACCCCGAGAGAAATGGACCTTACTTGTCACAAAAAGTGGACCTGAAATGATAACCTACATCCTATGCTGTTGCTGGGCTAGTCCTTTCTTGGAGCTGATTTGCTCTAATGTGCAGCTACATGGGAACTGCTTGCACATACCTGCTTGAATTAATGTAATGGCCCTTGTCTGCTATACTCATGGCACAGAAGGGACTTCAGATGGACCTAGCTGGAGCTGTCTTGACATTCGAGCATTATGAGACTTTCAAGTTGAATAAAAATGTGCCAGGTGTTTTTTCCAGTGAAAAGACTTGTCCTTGAGATGGGGGCAGTGGAAGGAGCACCATGCGTTTCTTTAGCTATCAGACCAGCAGATTCTCAAGAAGCTGGGTGGACCCCGAGGAGCACCAATGTCCCCTCCGTGCTGCTCCTGTGACTTCCTGACATTTTTTCTCTCTTTTTTACATCATCCCATGGCAATGCCTTTCCAGTTTACAAGGGATCCCCGCACAAATAAACGCTGATGAGACCAGGTTGTAGAACACAGGCATGGATTTAAGACCAACATTCATAAACTTCAGAGTCCTTCATCTTTTAGCATGCCTGCAAAGACCTTCCCGTAGAGAGCAGAGAGCAGCATCTGCCTTCTTTTGTCCCATCATCCTGATTTGCTAATTCTGATTTCTGATCACTTGTCACAGTTTCTACGTTCTGACAGTTGCTTCCTAACATGTAACCTCCTGACTGATGAGCTAATAGATACAGTTGTCTTTCCAGCTGAAGTCCAAACTTAAACTGGAGTCAGACCAGTTGCACCAGGAAGCTTAAGTAGTCTTCATCAAGTCTTTTTCTGTCCGTCACAGGCATCATATAGTCCCATTTTGTAAATTTTCTAAGCTGCATTGGAAAAGCAGTTGTATTTTTAGCCCCCACTACTCGTGTTGGAAAGCTGTTACAGAATCCAATTGCGCTAAATGACTAGGAGCCTAATTTCCAGTAAAATGTATTCTTTGTCTGTCTGAATCACCTTGTTCTCATGCCAAAGTTGGCCTGTAGCTTAATAGTTTTTCCCTTCCTGGAGATTTGTTCCTCTGATGTATTATAGACAATGCTCCTATCCACTTTCAGCTTTTGTTTTCTGAGGTACGACAAGCCAAGTCCTGACATAAGGTAAACTTTCTGTTCCTCCTGTCACCATAGCAGCTCTTCTTTGTTCTTGTTCTAGTTTGATTTCATCTCCCTTCCTGGGAAGTGACCAGATTTGTATCCTGCATTCCTACTCTAGGCTCACTAAACCCTTCTCTTTCTACCCTGCACTATACAACCTTCTACATATGTGGCATTTTGTAGTGAATTATGTGTATGACGCAGGTTACGTTAGGAGGCCAAGGTCCCCGCATCATAGGTTTGTATGGCTACAATTAAAAAGCTGCTATATAACCAGTGACCACTGAAGTCCCCAGTAGCTCTGAAAGATGTAGTGAATACAGCAGCATTAAAACCTCCTACTAGAAGTCCAGACTTATGATTAATACTTACATTGTTTTGAAATCCTGCTTTTTGAAATAGAGATAGATTAATAAATGCCCTAGGTAGTGAAACCTAGAGACAGTTAGATGCCTGCTGTTACTGTTTTACTGTTTATTGAATCTATAACTCTCAAGACCTCTTTTTCTAAATTGTATAGACTAAGGGAATTCATATAGGGCCCAAGAGCAAAGCCTCACTTCACTAAACCCGGTGGCAAAATGACCAGTTGCCCTTAGTATATGGAGATCTCACCCTGTGTCTTGAGATGTATTTAAGCAGTGCTCAGCATAAAAGGTCCTTGTTAGGCAGGCACCACACTGGATTTGAAGGGAAATGCTGCATTACTCACCAGTCCTCTGCTTTACTCTCCTCATATAGAACGTGCTTATAACAAGGTGAGGGAATGAGCTTGCTTCCAGGTGGAGTGGTCAACATGGTTTCTTTCTCTGTTTTCTTGTAGAACATGATCTTAAATTATTACAAATATAAATTCTAGCTGTATCGTTACTCTTCTCTACAATCTTGATGGTCTGTTTACACATGCTGAAGTAACTGTGGAATGAAACAAGCAAAGCAAGCCAATCCTACAGAGGCTTGTCCGATGCAAAAATATTCACCTTGTAGACTACCCAGTGACCATTTGTAGAACTGTGACATATGCAGTTGGGTTATTCTGCTGGCCTGTGAAGCCTCTAATTCAATTTTTTAGTCACACATACATAAACAAAGGTTTCTGTTTCTGAGATTCTCATCTGTTGAAGTCTCAGGTGTTACAGGAAATTGCCATACACTCTCTTGCTTCAGTTTTCTTGCTTTGATGTCAATCTGCATGTAAAATAAGGTGAAATCTTAATATCGTGAAGACATGAATACAGTTCTTGGGCTTGACAGCAGGGATAAGCTAGTTAGCTGGTGTCTGTTGCTCCTGTTTCATATTTTAGCTAACACACTTGGAATAAAACTCTTAAGAGTGTGTTCCCTTCGATGCACATGTGCAATTCCTTCTAACTTACATGGAAAGTACATGGTAGAATAAACCATCTACTGCAAACACTGCATAGCCCATGCTGATGGCTTATGCAGCTCCTGGTTATTTGCACAAGGTTTTTTTAATGTGTTTCTCACAGAGATGATGTGAGGAGAAAGAAACATGTTCTCCATTTAATTTTTTACCTGACACAAAATACTCTAGTCATAAAAATACCACGGGGATGCCCTCTTTTGGGCAGTAATTTTGTTTAGTGCTGTGATTTATTGTGGCTGTGAAAGTACCACAGCGTCTATAAGTAAATTTAAATACACATTTTCAAGATCTTATTATAGAGAGCAAGAATAATCTCTATCTGCTTTTACTGCTAGCAATTGCTAATTCAAACCTTGCAGTGCCCCATTTGTTGAATTATTACTGTACACATAGTATAATCATACATTGTTGTAAAAGGGGGAACCCTTCATAAAAGCTGTCAACTTGTGAAGTATATGTAATATATATTACAATCATGATGTTAAATACATGAAACAAACAGCTGAGTGTCAAAATAATCTATCTTTACAGGGAAACACAGTACAAACTTTGTTAGCCGATACGATCCCAGGTTTAACAGCTGGATACAACTTCCACCCATGCAAGAGAGGTAAAAACCTGCTATGTGTTTTTCAATATATGTTTTATCATCCTAGGAGCAGCTGAAGTTTGGCTTAGTTCTGGGAGTAAGGAGGCCTGCAGAAGCATTGAAAATACTGAATTAAAATTGCAGCATGCAGTTGTGTCCCATTTGTCTCCTAATTTTTTTAAACTTTCCAAATTCAAAACTCCAAATGCCAAATCCTGCAGTGCTAACTCATGCAAAATAGCCATGGACTTTGTGCAATTACTGGTTGCCTGAGTACGATCTGAAGGATTTTTCTGAAGTCTCTGTAGTGTCCTGTCATGTTCCCTGACTGAAGTGTCATGATGAGTTTGCAGTAAACGAGCAGTAATTATAGTCAGATACCTTATAGGGAACTGAAACCTTCACATGTTGACTCCATCCTGTTTCACCATGCCAGCCATGAAAGCTCTCCTGAAAATGTCTTCCCTTGTCAGAGGACCCTTAATCCTAGGTGGTCTTTGAGTGAAGTTGCTGTCAGCTAATGCATGTTAGAGTAGCTCATGTTTTAATCTTACTCTCTACCAAAGAGCAGAGGTGCATGTGGACTTGAGCAATGACCCAGTAAAGATGACATAAACTTAACTCTGGATCTCAAATCTTACCCTGGCAGGAAAATAGTCCCCCAAACCTGACCTGAATGATGTATGTTTCATAAGAAGAATCTCAAAGGCAGATGATCCAAAGTTGCGTTTTATGAAAAGACATTCAGTGTCTGTCCTTCAGTTCAACACCCATCTTCTCATGGATCCAATGTACAAGAGATCTCACAGTGTCTTCCTAAGACACCTTCCTTATTCCATGTGTTGTCAGTATTATAGCTCTTTTTCTGTTGGCTGTCCACAGTGTTAAGGTGTCTGGCAGTCATAAATATATTGAACTCAGTGAAACCTTGCAATTCAAGGTGTGTATTACAAGGTGCATGGAAATATGGCTGTCTTTTCAAATTTCCAGAGGTAAAATGTAAGTCTGTAGAGTTTTTGAAGGGCCTTTGTTCAGCATTCACTTCGACTGACCTAAATCCATGTGCAGACCTGTGCGCGATGCTTGTCACCAAAGAATACTGCATTGTACCAGTGTGTAAAAAAGCACAAGTGGAACAAATCTGAGTAGGTTCCCTGTTGGAGCTGAGTGAACTGATAAAATTAGCCATATAAATAGAGATAAATAAGAGCATCACACTTCATTATAGTTTCTGGCTTTGTTAATAACGTCATCCTCTCCTTTAAAAATCCTTTACTCTAATTCCTTTGTCATTATTAGCTGTTAATAGAGCTAGTCCAACAGCAGGCTTTAGCTAAAGAGGTGGCCCTGCTTTGGCAGCCCCCAGCCTTCCTCCACACTTCTGGCAGCTCTGTAGGCTAACCCCACAACTGGGTTATTTGCCATAAAACAGAGGGACGCCTTCCCTTCTGGTTCAGCTCCCTGGACTGAGTCTCCGCCGGCTCTGGTGTTGTGGCAGGGGGAGGCAGGAGGTGTGTGTGAGATTGTGCATCGCCATGCAGGTCATCCTCAATGAACCGGGAGGCTGCCTAGTGTTTGTACCGAGCCTGAAGCTCTTCTGTGGAGCCTAATCGTTGTCCTAATTAGGCCCTCTGGGTATCTGCAAGCAAAACCCCTGAGAGGCATGTGTGACTGCCTGAACGGTTGGGTTTATTTGGCTGACAAAGCTCAGAAGGCAGAAGTAGGTAGCAGAGGGCTGGAGAAAGCAGACAGTAGGAGTTTCTCCGCCTCCACAGCGGCCAGTTGTGTTTCACTAGAAAATCAGTTTGTAATCGCAGGTGTGGAATATGACTTGCCCTGTGCCCTGGTGAAAGCTGCTGCCCTCAGCCAAGAGTCAGAAACTCTGCTGTGAGTTGTGATTGCTTAGCAGCTGCCCGGTAATAAACTGTAATGTCTTAGCATATCAGCTTCTTACGGTGTTATTTAAATGTAATGGTCTGCTCATACATAGTTCCTTCTGCAAGGGATTTTGCTATGACAACATTAATTGTCACCTCTTTTGTTCAGGATACATAGATCATAGGCTTGCCCATTATTTTTCTTTAAAGACTCTTAAGCGCTGGGGCTATTGTTGGAAAACAGGGGATTTCACTTTCTAAAATGTTTTTAATGGTTTATTTGCTCATCCCTAATGACTTCCTCAGAGGTGTTGCAGCCTTTAGAGGCAGGGTCTGGCCCAGTTTTTAGAAGATCACACAAAAAAAAAGAGAGCGCTTTTATGCAGTTTCCTTTCCCAGTGCCTTTAGTCAGATAAAGTTCCCATTAAAGTCAACAGACTATTTTTTCCCCCCCTTGGAGTACAGGGTCACGCCCTGTCTCTGCTGGCATAATGCAGGCACCATTGACAAGACAGACTGTTTAATGTTATTTTCTGAGTCATTATGGTCCATCAAGTCAAAACCTACTTAGGAATTTTAGTCTGAGAATAATTGGCTGGATAGACTATAATAGATCCTTTGAAACGACTGCCAGGTAAATGTGGGTCTCATTCACAGGCAGTATATTCTCAAGTTGAAAATCTGTATGAAATATTTGATGAGTAAACTTTTATCTCATATGCTAAAATCTATATCTGATTGATTTTACTGTATGAGCTATAAAGAAAAGTCTAATCCTGTTATGGATTCAGAGCCATCAGTGTATTTTCTTTAAAGCCAAGTTTGGTTTCTTTTCATTTGAAGAACATCTCAAAAATATATGCTTTTGAAAAGTATGTACTATTTGCCGGTGTGCATTGTTTAGAGAAGCAGCAAATGACTCAGAAGCTTTTGAAATGCACATCTGCCTGATGATGCAGCAACAACGGGATGCTTTTTGGAGAGCAGTTCAGTTAGACTAACATGCCTTCTGAAGGAGTGGTCTTTGTAGCAGACGTATCTGAACTTGTGGCATGAGCCTCAGTTGGGCACCTCCGTCAGTACTGTTGCATCTTGCCAGCTCAGCCCAGGGCTGGACAAGGTGTGTGCAACATAATAACATTTAAAACACCTTATTTTTTCGTATCTTCCCAGTAAAAAGTTTTTGTTTAAAGACCAGCAAAATATATGGCATTGTACCAGGGCCTGAAGAAGCACAAGTGGAAGTAAACAGGTCAGTGTCCTCACTGAGGCCAGGTGAACTGAGAAAAGAAGCCACAGAAAAAGAGATAAAACCATTTCACATTTTATTTTAGTCTTTGACTTTTATAATAATAATAATGATGTTAACCCTTATTAAGATTACTTTAGTTTTATAAAGCAAAGCATACACTCTAAAAGTGACTCTGAAGTCAGGTCTAGATATTGTGATGATCAGTAATAAATAGCATTGGTAGTTTTAAACCTCAGACTGGTAGTTGTATTTCTTGTTTCAGGGCATAAATTCATCATCTGTGGGTACCAGAAATAAATTCTTCCCTTTTTATGTGTGTGTACTTATGACAGGAAGTTAGTTGGGTTGATGACTGAGTAAAGGGGTGTGAAGGAAAAAGCATTTCAGAGACCAGTGAACATCAAGTACTTGCAAGTCCTGAAGAAAACCACAAAATAATTGTCTTATTGTCCATATTCAGATCCTGAGGCATATTCCGGTTACCTGATTAGAATGGATAGTTTCTTCCCAGTTTTGCGGGGAAAGTTTCCATGCAAAGATTGCTGTATTATATTTTAATCTGAATCATATTTTACAGCAGTTTAAAAAGTCATCACTTAGCAGCATGCCCCTTACGCACTGTATCACTGAAAAGTAAAAAGCCAAAAAGCTTAAAATATTTGTGACAGGAGTTACTGAGTGAATATTCACATCCAAGGAGAAGACTGAAGCGTGCTGACGCTTTCATTTTTGCTCCTTATAGTGACACTGTGTGGATGAAACCAGGAGTACATGTACAGAATAACGTCAGTGAAATCTTAGTTAAGAGAATAATGCCTGCCCATTGTACCTACCTCTGTTTTTTAAACCTGAGCAAAAAAAACCCACCACGCTGAGAGTAGTTCATTAACAGGTTCATCAGAGGAGGTACATGAGGACAGGCAAGCGGGCGCGTGAGCACCCCGAGCACTGACAACAGGCACCCTGCGGGCTTTGCCTTGCAGCTGCAGACACGGGAGGGTCAGAGCACGTGTGCCTGCCTGTGCAGGTTCTCGGATGTCTAATAGGATGTGACCTCTACAGCTTTTCCTACATTTGGGGCTGCTACGGGCTGTCTTGCCTCCGGCCTGTCACATACTCTCAGGAAGCATATAAGCACTTGATTGCCTGTAATACCTATACCCTCTGTCAAATTAGAGTAAAATCAGCCAGCAGGTTTTTGTTGAGGAGACAACACTCAAGCAGACACGGGTACACGTACAGTGTAATCAAATAAGCTTTGTTTCCATAGAAAATCAGGCTAAAAACATAGATGCACAATTTGCTGCCCGACCATGCAGAGCAATATATGCCATCAGCTTCTATCTGCCCATTGACAGATAAATTAAATGCTTTTATTTAATTCCTCAGCTGAGCTGGAGACGCTTAGCAGTATTCCTGTCCTCCTCTTTGCATCATTTTTTTTCAGTAGCCTTATCCTTGTGGTGGTGTTCCCACTCAACAAGAGGTGCTGTCCTGCACCGTCCCAGCTGCCTATGTGCAGGCGAGGTGAAATAAAGAGGTAGACAGGAGGTGCTCAGTGACCCTTGCTGGTGAAAAGCCGTGTCAGGCAGACACCAAATCCAAAAAGTAAGGCCAGAAACCGATAGTGTTGCATCAGATCTGCTCCCTGAATGCCCAGCCAGCCCTGCTGTTCCCGTGGCTGTACCGTCGTGTCTGACCTCTCCTCCAGCTTGTAAACCATCAGCCAGTCTCAGCCACATTTAACAAGGAGGGAAATTTCTCTGGAATGTTAAAGCATATCACAGATTTTGTGAAAACAGGGAGCTGAGTAAAGGAGAGATCTTATCCCTGCCTTCACTGAAGGAAATGCTGCTGAGCATGAGCCTGGTTAGATGGCAGGTCGGGGACGTGGCACACCAGGCTTTGCTAGCAAGGGATGACTGTAGGGAAGCCTGGGGAGGAACTGGGACATACAAGAGCTGCTCCTTGCAGGGTGTTGTGCTCTGTACGTGGACCACTGCTCATCCCCAGTGCTTTGCAGGATCAAGCCCCTGATGGTGCAGGTGACTATCGAGCCCCCAAGATTTACCATGCGATTCAGGAGTGCGATATGCAGCTGCTCCCAGATGCAAATTCTGGTGCTGGGGCAGGAACCGGAGCGCATTGTGTCAGCCACGGAGCAGGGTTAGGCAAGCTGCAGCCACACTCCAGTGTGCCTGCTTTGCAGGAGCTGTCAGAGCTAGACCTTGCCATGCCTGACCTGCCTGCTTGCCTCTGGGCTCCCATGCCACTCTGGTTTCACCCAGGAGAATATTTTAGGCTTGGGACCGACAATTCTTGTCATTCAATATTTTGTACAAGTCTTCATCCTAGCCTAGCTGTGCTCTTTTGCAATTTTCTTTCTTATATCATTGCAGCTTAAAATTATTACACCAAACAGGGTTCTCTCAAAATCGTCTACTGCTCAATTTTTACTTCAGCAACAGGCAATCGCTGTCAATTTTGGAGTCACAAGGAAGAAAACAAATAAATGCCTGGAAGTCCTGGCCAGAAAAATTAATTTGTTTCCTACATAGCTGAATTGCACATGAAAGCAGACAGGTGGCTAAAACTTTTCTCAGAGTTAGTTGGATGGAGACAGACCTTTTTTGAGTTAAAGGGTGGAAATGTAATATTGTGTCTGGTGTAAGGAAAGTTGTTCTGTTTGCAGTACTGCAGAAAGAAGAAAAAAATTATAATTGAAGAAAAATTTTGATGATGTGGTTCTCTTAATAAATTGGGAACAATGACCCTTGAAGGACCATAAAGAAAGTGAATGTCAAGATAATTCATTATTGTTACATTATCTACCTCATTTTTCACTTTGTCTTACTGAGTTGTTATATCCCTTACAAGGTAATGCCCCAAACATTAATAAGCACCTTTTTCTTTTTCATGGGTGTGAAAAACCAACAAACAGCTTTGAAAAGAGGTATTTTCTGCCAGGTTTCTGTGTGCTTAATTGTTTTGACGCTAAAAGCCACGCATTTATTTGATGTGGAGCATGTATTTGATTAGCAAAACAGCCACAGTCTCTAGGATAGCTGTTAGCATGTGAAGCTCCTGGACACTTCTCTCTGAAGTAGCCTTTGAAGAAGCAGCTGTCTTAGTTCAGGGAGTCAGCTTGAGAGGGAAAAGAAATCGTTGACATGGCTAATTGGTTTGTTGTTGGCTTGTTTTGTTTTGTTCTGCCCTGTCCTCCAGGAGAGCCAGTTTCTACGCCTGTCGCCTTGACAAGAACTTGTACGTAATCGGTGGAAGAAACGAAACTGGCTACTTGTCCAGCGTGGAGTGCTACAATCTGGAGACAAACGAGTGGCGTTACGTGTCTTCACTACCACAGCCTTTGGCAGCCCATGCAGGAGCCGTTCACAATGGCAAGATATATATTTCAGGCCAGTGTCTTTGATAATTCCTGCTATGTAGCAAAAAAACAACCCAAAATCACCACCACCAAAAAAAAAAAAAAAAAAACCAACCCTCCAACAACAAAAACATAGAGCTAAATTCCTGCTGCAGCACAATGTCTTTATTTACATTGATTAACAGAAGTGTATTTGCTTTGCAGGAGGTGTTCACAATGGAGAATATGTCCCCTGGCTGTACTGCTATGACCCTGTGATGGACGTCTGGGCCCGAAAACAGGACATGAACACAAAGCGAGCAATCCACACTTTGGCTGTAATGAATGATCGACTGTATGCAATTGGAGGAAACCATTTGAAAGGTCACATTTTTAATAGCAAAAAAGCATTTCAGTGTCCCTCATCTCCCGATAAAGAATATTTTTGTTAGACAGTCGTTGTTAAATACATTAAAAACCAGGCAACATAATTTAACAGGACACTTGAGCCAGCAATTTTAAAAACATTTTATGCAAATTATTTTAAAATTATAACAGTACATTAAATATATGAGTAATGAGTGCTTTAGATAATAAAAATGGGAGCTTCCATTACTCAAAGGCATGGACAATTTGTCATTACCAAGAATTCAATGAAACAAACAGATTATTCTTTGACCCGAAAGTACCAGCAATATTTTCCTCTGTAAATCATTTTCCAAAATGTGCAGTTAGAGAGAGCTTTATTCAGAGCAACACACAAAAAACAAGCTCCTGATTTAATGAAGAGGAAAAAAAAAAAAAACTCCAGCCATTAAATATTAGGACTAGGCTCTTTAGATCTCTTTTTAGTATTAAATGTAGCTTGTTAATTATAAATCTTTTTAGAGGTCTCTTGTTTTCATCTTTTGAAAAGGTCTCATATTAAAATAACTACTGCTTAGGCATCTGGTATTTTTGTCTTAATACCTACATGCTGTTGCTATTACTGCTAAAGAGATTCTGCCTAATCCAGCCACTTAGACAAAAAGCACAGCTCCTGCTCCTTTGTCCCGTGACAAATATTTGACAGTTTATATTCACATTTTTTTCTTCTTTCTCCTTTCTTGCTTACCAAAAAAAAAAAAAAAAAAAGAAAAGAAATAAAAAGAAAAAAAGCCTCGCAGCAACAAAAAAGAAAATTGTAATGCAGAAGAAAAAATGATGTTAAGTGCCAGTAACACCAGGCCATGCTCCTGGATGACTCTGACACCCGAACCCCCGCGAGGCTCTGAAGCCACATGCTGCTTTTGAAGACCTGAGTGTCTGTGGAGCATGTAGGGGACAAAACCTCAAATGTAAATTTTCCCTGGTAAATAGTGCTGGTGCATAAACCCCTGTAGCCAGGTGCAGGGCTGTGGTGCCTCTGCTCCCCACCCCCAGGTGTGATGGGTGTTCCTGGACTGGACCTCACAGGGTGAAGGGGGTAAAAGCTGCCTGTGCACGTGCACCTGCAAATTTTGTAGAACTTGCAGAGCTCCACAGTGTTGGCTTTTTCTCCTGCAAAAGTAAAAGTTAACATGTCAGAGCTCTCCTATAGCTAAAGCACATGCTTTGGTTAACATATGCTTGAATTGCTTCCATCCTGCCTTCTCCTTCTTTCTTTTCACCCAGTTTCATCCACCATCCCCTGGGAAGGAAGGAACGTCTAATAAACATTGCATTTTTGCCTCTACAACTGTTGCCCTAGGTGCCTTTGTTATGTATGAATCGCTCACTGTTGTCAGAGGTATTTAACATTTGGGCTTCTGGAGAGCTGCGGCTGTCTGGTACAAGGGCTTTTTGGAAAACTGCTTTCTTCTGTACAGAGAAACAAAAGGAGGAACTGCAAGGAAAGGGAGGAGGGAAAGGACTGAACCGAATGCTACAAATGAAATGCTACAATTTCTCCACCCTGGGGCGGGGGGAATAGCAGAGCTCCATGGCAAAGCCCTGCTTTGTGAAGCTGGATCTGCATACTTGTGTTAGCAGTGCGTTTGCTGCATCACAGCTAGTCATGTGCATACTGCAGTTTATTACGGAGCTTTTGACAGATTCTGGGCGCGCTGCGGTGGCCTTTCTGTGGCCCCTTGACGACTTTACAGCAACGAAAAAGTATTTCATCGTAGCTATTCATTCCTGACATAAATAATACTCTATTAAGCAGCATCATTGTAAAGTACCAATATCACCAAATGCCCTTTTCCAGAAAATCTAACTTCTCTTTTCTGTCATACTTTGATGGAGAAGACAGTAATGTCAAATAAAGCATCCCAGCATATTAAGAAAGCCATCATTTTACTGTGGTGCTCTGATAAAGAAGATGGTTTGAGATAGGGAAATGCTTAACTATTGGAGCAGGAACCAGGACTCCTAGGCTCTGTGTCTGTGTTCATCTCACTTAATTGGTACTGACTGATACAGCTTAAGAGTCATGAGCTGAGGCCCATCTGCCCTTTGGTGATGACAGAGCTGCAGTTATATGGAGCCTTTTTCGGCCTGTCAGGGAAGGATGGGACCACAGCTTTTATTTGGTTACATTTTCTGCTGCCTTAGAGACTTTGTCACATCACAGCTGCATGCTTAGGGTGCACCTTAGATCAGCTTGAAAATTGAAATTGGTCCTGGACATCACGTCCGTTGTGTTAAGAACCTTGTCCCTCAGGAACCAAGTGGCGTCGGTGGTCTCAGTTCTACCTCGACTCGTTAGACATTGATTTCTGAGTGAGATTTAATCTGATGATTTTTGAATAGGTTAGATCTGCTGACCTTTGAGGAAGACTGCCAGGACAGCCTTTTCCTACATGTTCAAACTCTCATTGGCACTGATAGATGAGGAGGAACCTGCTTGCATCATTGATAGGTTATTACTGAGTGTTACCTTCTGATCTGTTCAGGTTTTATATGTACCTGTGATTTGTAGAAGACTGTAGAACTAATGGGAAGAGCTTTCAACAGAGTTATTTGAGCTGAAATAATGAGACATTAACGTTACAGAAGGTGGCTTAAATGTATATGGCAGTATTTTCTAGAAGAAAGTTTAACAATGATGTTATAATTGTAACAATAAAATTGTAATTTAATAAACTTAACAGTAAAACAAATAATAAAACCGTATGTCTTAACACACGTTCTCTTTTCTCACTGCCTTCTTCCAGGTTTCTCCCATCTCGATGTGATGCTTGTGGAATGCTACGATCCAAAAGGTGACCAGTGGAATATCCTCCAGACTCCTATTCTGGAGGGTCGCAGTGGCCCTGGGTGCGCAGTCCTTGATGACAGTATTTACCTTGTAGGAGGCTACAGCTGGAGTATGGTGTGTATCTGCTTTCTGCAATGACCCTTCCATTCCTTCTGAGTTCTTGCGGCCAGTCTGTGTGTTACTCAGATGGAATAGAGAGGAGACGAGGGATGAAGTACCTGCAGGAGCAAGCTTTGTTTTGGTTTTCAGCTTGCGGAGAACATGGAGTATTTTTTCACCTTTGTGCTTTTCTATTTAGATGAGTTATTATCATACTGTATTCACTGATATGGAGTAATGTACAAATCAGATGAAATTTGGCAAAGGTGATTGATGGGAGTATATGCTTACAGCTCTGCTTATAAGGCTCTTGCAAAGGAGCCTGATTTGCAGAGGCTGGGTGCTCAGCCCATATGAAAACTAAACCCCCCGAAGAGCTCCTACATTAGAGCTCAAAACCATGAGTCACTTCTGAACCTCTTTAAAGCTGATGTGTGACTTGCATTTTACCAAAGCCACATTTAATATGACTTTTTGTTCTACTACAGGGAGCCTACAAATCTTCTACTATTTGCTATAGTCCTGAGAAAGGGACTTGGACAGAACTAGAAGGAGATGTTGCTGAGCCACTTGCAGGGCCTGCTTGTTCAACTGTCATATTGCCAGCCTGCGTACCGTACAACAAATGATAGTCACGGAGCACTGACACGAACACTGATTGCATTGGGGAAAATAATGACGGGTGACGTAAATATTTTATTAGAACAGGATTCCTGCTAAAACAAATCTACCATAATTGACCCCTTATTCCATATTTATGCTTTAGGAGCAAACTAAAAGAAAACAAAAACCACGTGTTGCCCCATCTCAGATAGATGCCGGTGTCTTATGAAGCAAGTAGCTAAAACACACCGAACATTACATGCTGACAGACTGCCATTTCAGACTGATTTTAACTTTTTCCTGCTGCAGAGATATTCCTCACGTCAAATTTAACTTAAAAAAAAAAAAAAAAAATGAAGGCTAACTGTTCAAATACAGCCTGAAGAGACAAGATCAGTATTGTGCATTGTATCTACCTGCATGTGATCTGTGTTGAAGTCATGAGGATGTTGTTTTCATGAATGCTTCAGAATTCAGATAGTGAAAAGCTCACACTGCATTGCAGGATAGTCTCCTCCTCTGTAATCCTAACCTACAGCTACTTCACATGCTCTGCAAGCAACACAGCATCAGAAGATTACAAAAGGTAAAGAAATACCATTCAGTTTTTGCACAGCTTGGCAACTAATACACTCTGCCTTCAAAGTCCCCACGTGTAAGTGCAGCGGAAAGCAGACTACAATGAAAGCCATGCTTTACAGAGCACTTCTTGCAATAGCAGTTTAGGGATTAGGATCAAATTCTTCTAATCACACTTGTGTAAAGTCAGAGTCATTTCACTGAAATCACATGGAATGACTGTTTTTACATTGGTATAACAGAAATTTGGTCCTACACCTTAAATTTTGGGTTTGTAAAGTAAGTTATTTCTGTGACCACTTAAGGAAGCACCAGAACCCTTACTTACTTTTCACTGACCTGTTAGACAGGAGCATCTGTGCGAGTTGCTTCCAAAGACAGGAAGACTGCATTTAACTATAAATGTATTACTTTGGACTCTTAAATGATTATTCACGATTTTGGAGAGACACTGGTAAGTAGTTAAAACACTCCTGTGTAGTTGATCTGCAGAGGTACTCTGAAAGATTTTTACTATTGATCCAAACTAATATGAGGCTGGACTCTCCACTGCCTTACAGCCTGTGTAATTATTTACACATGGCAAAACGAGTTCAGAATGCTACCGCACGGGACCAGTAGCATTTAGTACTCCCTTCATGAACTCATAGTTGCTTGCACAAATCATGCTGTGTTTTAAGCTTATGTCTTTCTGTCCCGGCTTTGCAAAAGCAGTGACAAAATCTGAGCCCAGTTCTTCACCACCTTGCAGTTAACATAATCATCTACACCTCAGTGAAGCGTATGCATAATTCTTCCATTGTGGTTGACTGGTGCTGCATCCATTACCCTCAGGATCGTCCTCTTCGCTGGTATAAACTGACATTGCTCCGTTGAAGCCAACGGATCTACATTGGTTTATGTCAGCTAAGAATCTGGCCTTTAATTTGCCTAGTTGTAACAGGCTGCACCAGATAAAAAGCAAAGGAGACTCAGATCCTGCGTTTTCAAGCCTGCACGTATCTTTCACGATAGGGCTTAATGCTGGTGCATTAAGCAAGGAGCAGACAACTACTGGAGGCTGGTTTCTGCTGCAGAGGCAATAGATGGGAGAAAGATTTCATTATTTGTTCTGCAAAATAGAAAGAGGGCGAATGTACACAGAAATTACACTATATATTGATGCTTGAGAGCAATATAAATAATGGAGAGAAAATACCACGGGACTGTTTCTCTCTGGCATCAGTCCAGTCTTATTGCAGTGCAACTCCCTTGCTTGCAGCAGAATTACACAGTTGTAAAATCGGAGTAATGCAGTAAAGACTGATACCATACAAATGCAATAACACAACTGATGAGGTAGCTGCACGCCTGGAAAAAAAATGTTCAAACAGAATAATTATCTGAAGATGCTAATATTTGAATGTGCCGTTAGAGAGTTTTCCAGTGAGCATCACTAAGGAACTCATAAAGGTGGAGTGTATATCCTGAAATCTCAATCCATTTCTACTATATAGTGCAATCTTAGTTGGTTTTGTATTTATTTATATTGTTCAGATCCAAGGGATCCCTTGTAAAATACATTTGGTGCAATCATGACTTTTTTTTTCCTTTCCTGTTGAAAGTATATAAATATAAATATATATAAAAAGGAAGCTGTTAAGATACTAAATGAGGAAATCTTGAATGACGTTTAAGATCAGGATAAGGTCTGCCATTAAACACTGACTGTCACCTGTCTCTACTAAAACGTACCATTTTTAAAGGACATTTGTTGTCCTTTTAAGTGGTTCTTTTTTTTAACCAAGATAATTTAAAGATTTATGAGGACTGTATGTAAATCTTTCTATCTTTCAGGAAGGCATGACCAAGGAAAGTGCTAACTGAATAAGTCACAAAAAGAATGTAAATTTTGTACAGTACTAGACTGTGTAAATGAAGCTTGCTTGTAGGGGGGAAACTTTAAATAAAACTTTATGTACTAATTCAACTGTCTGCCATATTCCTACTTATAAAGTGTATGTATAAATAATATCTACATTAAATTCTTTGGAACTTTTTTTATCATGTAGATGTGTAAACTTCTTTTTATTTTGTGGCCGCACGTAACGGCCTCGTTGCTCTCCAGGTGTCCTTACTCAGTGCTTGCAAACGCAGGAGAAGGTAGCGAGTCAGAGCCTTCCCCTGGGCGCAGGTGCCTGGCCCACGCTTCCAGCGGGGAAAGCCAACGGCTGCGATCGGACGCCTGCGAAACGCCTCTGCCTTGCGCTGCCCCTGCCCCTGCCCCTGCCCCCTGGTACGGGGGGTGAGAAAGGACCCGGCTCTGTTAAACGCAGGCTTGCTTTGGGGAGTTTAGTGCCAGCTGAGGCCATTTCCTCCCTCTTCAAAATGTCCCTCCTGTGGCGATTGACCCTTCTAACGGTGGGTACGTCCGCTCGTGGAGGGGAAGTGCTGGCTGGGGTGAGCAGTAGAGGCGTCGGGACCGGAGGCATTGCCAGGCTGAGAAGACGAGGTAGAGGCAGGGGTTTTACCGGGAAGCAGAATCATTACCCACCCCAGTTACTATACTACATGTATTATTTATTCATGCCTACCAACCTTTGTCAAGGACCAGAACCTTCCTGTGCAAACCAGGTGGGTGCACTGAGCACAGAAAAAGGCAGTCCCTGTCCCCTGTGCTTATAGCAAGTGTGAGCTGTGCTGGGGAGGCGGGGGGGTGAGGGCACATTGAAAGAGTCTGCTCGAACGAGAGGGGATCAGTCCTGTTCAAATCTTTATGAGGAAGGGAAAGGTGAGCCAGCAACAACTACGGTAAGATACCACAATGAATAGGACTGTTTATTAATTAGTTTATTTCAGAAGAGAAAGCAAGGAAGATAGATTTATGCCTATTTTTTTAAAGTAATGCAGGAGAAGAAGGAAGAGAAGAAGCTGGATGCAGTGGGCACAGATATAATTTATAAAGGAAAGGAACGAAGCGAGGAAGAGGTAAGAATGAAAGGAAAAAACAGAAAGCCTGCAAGAGGTGAAAGGGAGAAGTTCTTGTGGATCAAGGGCACAGAGAAAGTAAGGGCTGGAGTAATGAGGAAGGCAAAGATGGTTTCTGAGAAACACTCATCAGAGCAAGCCTGGGAAGAAATGACAGGAGAGGCGATACGAAGAGCAGAAGAGAAACAGGAGAAAATGCAATAAAAGAGAACATGAAATAAACATGAAACTAAATAAGCACTTGGTGATGGTACGGCTCCTATTTGCTTCAGCTAATCATTTACAGCGGTCTAGCTGTCAAGCAGAAGGATCAAATCAGCAGAGTCCTTAGGTGTTGCAGCGTTCAGGCTTTCAACGCACAGACTTCAGCACAGCAAAAATCGTGAGAGAGATGCCCGGCGGCCCCTGGGCAGTGCCTGGGCTGCGGCCAGCACCCAGCTACAGCCACGCCAGTGGCAGGGGAGGAGAGCTGCTGCTGCTGCTGCTGCTGCTGCTGCTGCCGCTGCTGCTGCTGCTGCTGCTGCTGCTGCTGCTGCTGCTGCTGGGCATGAGGAGCACAAGAAGAGCTGATGGGTCTCAGGTCCCCGTCCCCGCTGGGCTGGCAGGAAACGTCTTTTCCCTTTCTGATCCGCAGATGAGAGTCGTCTTTGGGAGTTGGACACCTGGACTGTTCCTCCATTCTCCTCTGCTGTCCTTTCCTGCCAAGCATTAATCTTCTCTTTGTCCTCAGCATTACAAACTTGCCTAGATATTTCTGTGGAGCTGGGCCTGGAAAGCAACAGACCAGCGAATGGAGCTGTTTCCCCGGTCCCATCCACTGCCTGGGAAGTGGGAGAAGGCTGGCTTGCGTGCCCTTAAGGAGGGCAAAGATGGTGTTTCAGAAATACGCTTTTCTCTGATTACAGCACTGCCTTCAGAGGCACTGTGCACCCACCTCCCAAATCTGGCATTCCTTTCCTACACGTGTTTGTCCTCCTTCCTGCTTTTAATATAAATATTTAGTCTGCTAGCTGCATCTGCGAGCCCATTTCTGAGAAAAATCCCTGCCAAACCTCGTTATATATACTGGTTTGTATTGTATTATAATCACTCACCAATACAGTACTCTAGTTCTCTTGCTTTTAAGGGACAGACCATGTTTCAATTTAAATGGAGCTTCCTGGGTACAGACAAAGGAGACAGAAATCCCAGACAGTGCTAAAGAGGCCAAGGCAGTAATTGGCAACATAGAAACTCCTGATCAGTTTAAGATACACGTTCTCAATTCTGTTGTCAGTGTGGCAGCAGAAAAGAGTCAGTGTTTCTGCCGCTGGGGTCCAGCCCAAAGAAGCAGCGACAGCAGTGCTGGAGGTCAGAGTGGATGGCGGGAAGGGAAAGTACACTAATGAATTCTGGAGGGCTTGTAATGCCATAAAAGATTCAGTTAATCTGCAGCATAGATGTTGATCAGCGAAACTGAACCTAACTCTCTGGACCTTGTCAGATGTATTCTGTGCATGTCAGTGTTCCACACCAATTACAGATTTTAGAAGATGCTCTCATGCAAAACTATGTGCCCTAATATATAAGCCAGCTCAGATGTAACTAAAATTAAAATCTGACTGTGGCAAATCTCTGTGATCCTGATATATGAAAATCCAAATAAATGATTTGTTTCCAAAAATGAAAAATAACTTCAGCAGGAAATTTCAAAATTACTTATGCAGGATTAATCCAGTTCAATGAATGCATCTTGCGTTGATTAATAAAGCAATCCTGAATTGCAAAGTAAAACGAGAGGAGACTTCTGGTGCTGATATATTTGTGTATTTCTGAAGCTCGAGAGAAATGCACACTTCCAAGAGATGTGGTCAACCGGTATAAATAGAGATTGAATACAAATGGTGATTTTCTAATTGTCTCTTTTCTCCCTGCAGCAGAAAACTACCTTTGTGTCATTGATCCTTTCTTGAAGAACACAGGTACTGTGTTATCTGCCACAATACTGAATGAGAACAGGGCATCTAACACGATTGTACAATGACTCCAATTAGCATCCAGATGACATCTGCAGTCTTATCTAGCAAAGGAAAGCAAAACGTGAGGTACTTTCTGTTGATTTTCTTGCCACACAGAGTAGAAATTTTGGTCAAGTCACATTAACTTTTGTGATCTGCTGCCCTTGAATTTAATTGGGCTTAGAGGTGAACAGATACAGGGAACCTATTTAGAAATCAAAAACAAGAGAAGGAGCTTTAAACATATGTAGCATTTTCCCAAATTTTTCTTCAGCGTTCACACACACACAAAAAATCAACTGAATTTATTTAAAGTGGTTCCATCACTTGATCTAAAAACCTGTTCTTCAGTTTGGAGAACTACCTTCAATCATTTCAGTGTTTTCAAAAGGGATATTTATTAATGGTTGAGGTATTTTGCAAAATGCCTTTAAAATCCTTATGGTTTTATCTTTGATAAATGGTTTCCTCATATCACCCTTAAGCATCTTCCAGAAAACTACACTGGAAGGATCGTATTTGTAAAGCTTGCTTAGTAATTCGGTAGCTCTTGTGGTATTCAGTTCCCAATCCTTTGTTTCCATTTTTGTTTGCATTTGTGCAAAACAATTCCATTTTCAAAAAACTGGCAGATCAAGAATATTTTGTGTGAATGGAAAGTGAACTTTAAACATCGCCGTGAATAGTGAATACCAAGAATGATGATCCACTGCATAAGCAGTAACAGAAATATTGTTGCTTCCTGTGTATTTAGGGGTTTTGAGAAAAGTGTATAAATACACACGTACACATTTCTCCCTCAAAAATGTCAGGTTCATAGGTCATAACAAAGACTGCTGTGCCATTGTTTTTGCTAAAGCAGTAAACTTGGTAACAGCACTGAAACTTGGATGTTTTTCTTTAAAAACCACCTCTTTAACTGCAAAGATGCCATTAGTCACAGCAGGGAGCATAACCAGAAGGAGGATGTCTGTGACTATAGCATGAGAGCACATTAAACTGTAGGTCAAAATCACGACTGACTGATTGCCTTCAGGGTGAAAGTATATCTGCAGACTTGCTGGCGTAATAGGAAACAGGACTGGCCGGGGTTTGCCGAGGTCATGCCCTGCCTCCCCCACGCCACGGCGGGGTCGGCGATGCCCAGCGCTCTCCCAGCAGATGTTTGCTGACTCTCCTAACCCTCACAGCGATGTGTGATGGGACGTAGTCATCGTCAACATTAGAAAATGCTTCCTAATGTCGAGCTTAAATGTCTCATTTGTTTAAAGAGATGATCCCAGGAAAAACCTAAAAGAGAAAACAAATATTTTCCAAAAATTCAAGTCCACAATTAAATAATCTAAAACTGTCACAAATGACAGAACCTTCAAAGCTGCTTTTCCTTCTCCTGCTCTCAGTGGATAAGGAGAACTGTTTATTCCCACGCTTTTTGCAGCAGCTTGTTTTTTCAAACCCGGAGACCACCAGTCTTCACTTTTCTCTATGCCTGTGGCTTAATCTCTCCTCCCTGACTATGGATTTTACATCCACCAGCAGTCTGATTTTCCTGTTTTTAGCTGATCTCCAGCTGGCCCACATCTTCAGCTGCGCTTTGATCAGTGCAGAGGGAACCAGCAGATTTCTGTCTAACTTGCCATAATGCAGTGCAGGGTTGCAATGGACTGAAGCTTTGCGGTGAGGTCTTCCCTTTATTAGTAAGCCTCCCTGTAACTGTAACTTGCCAGGGTCAGAGCTGATCGGACAGATATTTTGGCACTATTGAAGATGAAGCATCCTCTTCTTAACAGCACTTCCACTGACGATAAAGATCAAAGCCATAATCTGACTGTGCACTGTTCAGGTACAAAGTCCAGTGAAATAAGCTCTAGTGAATGGAGTTTACATACAGGACTGCATAAAGATTAATTAACCTGCTGTAGGAAAGTGTGGTACTTTTATCAGTGGCTGGGCACTCAGAAAAAAATTACTGTTGTCTTTTAAGCTCTTTTGCTTCTTTTGTGGAATAAAATGAAAGACATTTGTGAAGAATTATGTCTGGCACACCACCGCCTCTTGTGAATTATTCTCCAAGCATTCCCTT